TTAAAACCTGACCAATTTCTTAGTTTTCGAGAAATAAGTCTTCAAAATGGCTTGTTTCAACGGATTTTGAGAGTACTTTTTGGGTTTGAACCCACGTTTTTCAGAAAATAGAAAGTTCTGCAGGTGGATGAATTTAAAATTTTTTTCTGGAGCCTTCTGGACAATTTCAACGAAATTTCCAAGCTTAAAATAGAATGAACTTCCTTGGGAGATATTGAATTTTTAATTTTACAACTTTCTGGAAGTTGAAAGTTTTCTTATGCCATTTTTCGGCGAGTCAGTTGGATCATTATAAGGTTTACGAAGAAGAATCTTTAATTTAGTAGTTAGTTTAAGGGACATGTATTTTTGAGAAATAGAAAAAGTATAAAATAGAGCAAAAAAAAGAAAAAAAGAATGATTTTTTCAAAGAAAAAATGATTATTGAAATTAAAGTCATAAGCTTTAATGCTCTCTTAAATTACCTGTGAAATCACTAATTGATCAAAGTTTCTTAAAAAACAATAAATGTTCAAGGTTAACTTTTTCTCACAGCCTCTTTCATTTCTGAACATATTGATAATCACCAAGTACAACTTTTCCCAGTGAATTTTAAAGCAGGTTGGCGTGTTTCAAATTTTTGAAGAGGTTTTTACGTTTATCGTTCAGAAAATGACGGTTAATTTAGAAGGTTTATTCATATTTTATCATTCCAAAAGTTGAAAAACCATCAAAAAGAAAAATAACTAGTTCTTTTTTCAATCTAGCCATCATTTTCTGGCAAAAAGCATTGACCTCGAGGGGGAGCGAACCTTGATCATAGATCTTCTACCTCAAGTGTTTACCACTGCTCCAAGCTGTCAGATTTCGTTTCGATTTCAATGGGAGACCATCATTTGAATATCTTTCTTTCTTCCTTGGAAAAATAGATTTTTCAGAGAAAGTAGAATTTCTTTTCTTGTTTGCTTTTTTTTTCAACAATAATTCATCGAGACCGTGCCAATTTTCTCGCTTCTAAATTTTCTCATAACTCAAGCCGTAAATTTCGAAGTGAGTATACGTTTGGTTTTTCCAACAAACTGCTTGGAGTAAAATATATGTATGGGCTCGGACTTGTTTGCTTAAGGGACCACTTGACGCGTGTGAAATGCCGCCAATTTTGAATGAAAAAAACAGACGGCCGGCTGATGGAAAATTGAGAAGCGAGAAGCGCGTGCGAATAAAAATGCGACGTCTTCTTTTTTTCTCTCTTCAGTTTGAAACTTTCCCCGACTTATTTTCGGTCCTTTGTTCCTTCGGCTCATTTTCCTGTTTTGGTCGTCCATTCCCTCTTCAAATATGCTCTTATTTTGGTCATTCGGACTTTTTTCTTCAGACTTGACGTCTTCAACCGAATTTATGTGTTATTCAATAACAGCTTTCGGTCAACAATCGGAGGATTTTCGAAGCTTATTTCCAGAAATGATAATTTTGTTGATAGGGATTTATACTTTTCTTAATTATTTTTTTAAATTCTGCATTTTAAAAAGCGCAAACGTCTTATATATCTAAAAAAATATGAATGAAAGCACCTTATTTTTTTCGAGATTTGTTTTTTTGATTTTGCTTTTCAATTTTTTTACCTGATAAATTGAGGATTTCGCATGAATCCTTGAAGTTTTTTTATTGAGTTGTTAAATTTAGGGTTTTTTTCTATTTATTTTTTTCAAAGTTTCACATTTTCTAAAAATGGTCTTTCAACTAGAAATCCTTATTTTTTTGATATGAAATCATTTTTTTCCTACTTTAAAATGAACTACCTGCCCACGATGTCAGGGTACACATTTATTTTTTTCAATTTTGTTGAAATGATTTTTTTGTAACGGATCGATTTGCGTTCAATATCATTAAACTGTGTTTTAAAAAGACTAAATCTTTTTAAAAAATTAGAGATTTCCCTTCAAAATTTCCGGCAGTTGGACAGCCTTTCAAAAAAAATCTCAATGAACACAAAAGAAAAAAATTATTTTTTTTCCTCCAGACTTCCTGAATTTTTGCAAATTTGTATGCCAAAATTTGTATTTTCGAAAGCCTTTTGTTCTCTTTTTATGTCAAGATACGAATTTTCATTTGTTATTCAGTCTTGACCGTTTCTCTTCTCCTACAACGTATCCACTTTCCTGGATAAAAGAAATTTCAGAAATTTGATCTTCGAGGCCTAAAATTTTAGGGAAACGAACAGTCAAAGCATGGAAAATATGCTTTGAAAGTCATTCAAAAAGCTGAATTCCTTCTGAAAATCAAAAATCCGGCGAAATATGCGTTCAAAGGCTGTTTTTTCACACATTCGCGCTCAAGTGAGAACGTCCGCCGAAAAAACATCATCTTTGCAATTATTTTCCTCTGAACCAATAATTTAATGGTATGGTTCTTCAAAGTCATAAATTTCCCCTGTTTTCCCGGATTTTTCGTTCATTCAAGTCGTTTCTCTCATGAATTATACATCTTTTTCTGCAGTTTTGGATGCCTTTTTTCAGGCTGATTTTCGCTTTTTCCTGAGCTTTATTTATGAAGTTATGATTCTTCAGCAAATAAGAATAAATGTGTGAAAGTCACGAACAAGCTTTTTGATAAGATTTCTGGGCCTTCTCTCACGAAATTTGGCTCTAGGTGCGATTTTTAATTCTTTTTCAAGGAGAAAATCTTTTAATCCTCATTTTTCTTTTTTTCAGATGATTTTTTTGCTCGACCCAATGTCTGATTATTTTTTTGTGTTGTTGGAGAAATTTTTAATTATTTCTGGAAGCTAACAGCTTTGGACCATACTACAAAAATAAAATGAAAAAAATTTTTGAAAAATAAAAAAATTTGGATTTTTTTCGGAATTTCTAGAATTTTTTTAGTGACCACTTTAGTAGCGTCAGCACCCTTAATGTGATCTCTAGAATTGATAAGAAACGTCCGGTTCGGGTAACTGAAGTCCGAGTCCGATGAGTTTAAAGGCGCATAGAAAAATTTCAAAAAAAAATTTCGACCCGAAGAGTCGTTTTCCATGTTGTTTGAATCATTCAAAAATTTCTGCTCAGCGAAAATTTTCCCTTGAAAAATCAGAAAAAAATGACCAAAAATCAACCTTTCATCAAATTATCTCGATGGAGCGCACTTTCCCGAGACCTGCCCCTCTCGAAGTGAAGTAAAGCTGATTTGGCTATTTTCTCTCGTTCATTGTTGTGATTGTGTTTGTGCCGCCGTTCCTCCGTTCGTCGTTTCGAATTTCGTCTGCAAAAAAAGAAGAGGAGGAGGAGGAATTCCTCTTCACCTTCCCTGCTTTTTCCTTCTTTTTCTCATCTTAATCCATCTCCGTTTGAAGATTCGCTTTCTTCTGAAGTTTGTCTGAGGTCACCTGACTTTTTTAGGAAAGAGAAGTAGAGAAATCCGCGAATATGAGCACTTTAAAGCTGTATTTTTCATTCACATTGACTTGTGGTCGCATTTGGAATGGCTCAAAGCGTCGCGGTCGCGTTGCAGTTAGGATGTGTTTTACAGCTCAAGGAGTTGCTATCCGTTTGCTCTGTTATACCCTGGCGTAAGTCGTTTCTAGTCGGGTGCGTCTGAAAGCAACCCTGACCGTCTAGCCATTCCAAATGCGACCACAATTTCCAATTTAAAGAAAAATAAATTAGATCAACTCAAAAAAAGGTAGTGATTTAATTTTAAAAAGTTATGATTCTCGTTGGAGCGCAAAAGATTCAAAAAGAACTTATTTAAGGGCTACTTTTTTTCTTCTGAGAAGTTTATTAGGTTTTTTTGTAAACCTTTTTAAAAATTGAGTTTAAACAATTTTTCTTTTTCGAGATCAAAAAGTTCATTTTTAAATTCTTCAATCAAGAAATTTTCAAATCATTTTAAGAAGGTTTTAACCCGTTTCCTCCTCTTTTTTCTGACCATTTCGAATTGATTTGACCTTCCTCCTCGTCGAGTTTTACAAGTGTTTCACGACGAACATTTCCTTCCACTTCAACCCGAAAACTTCCTCGATTCCTCCGAATTCATCTCGTTTTCTTTTTCCTCACTACTCAGCGTCCATTTTTGGTTAGTTCGATGTCCCTAGAGAGCTCTGAAAAGTCGCGTAATATGCTAATTTTGGACCTTTTTTCATTGTGCTTTGTGGTTATTTTTGCCGTCGTTGTTAATTTTTTTTTTCTGATGAGTTTACTAGTAAGTTCTCTGTTTCGAAAAAGTTTTTTTATAATAATTTTGAGTTTTTTTATATGAGATTTCATTTCGGCTTTTTTTTTTCATGTCTTCTTGTTTTTATCCTTCTTTTGATGTTTTTAGTCTCATTTTGAAAAATACATTCATTTCAAATTTAACTTTTTTTGAATCTTAAATTTTAAAGTTCAAAGTATAAAAACATTTTTTTCTCTACAGAGGCCATGTGCACGTAGCGGAAATAACTTTAAAAAAATTAAATTTTTTTCCTATTTCTTTTTTTACCTTAAGCCTTCATGTTAGGTACACCCCGAGAACCCTTTTTATAATTTTGATGAAAAATTAAACTTTTTCAGAATAAAAAAAAGTTTCTAAACTTCCCGGTTAATTTTGAACTCTTCACTTGATAAAAATTCACTTTTTTAGAGTTTTTTCATATTTTTTTCAACTTTTTTCAGTTTTTTATTTTTTTTGAAGATTTACAGTATTTTTTATCATTCAACTGAGATTTCGATTCTCGTCTTGATTTTAATTTCGATTCGCGTCTTGCTCTTATGATATAATTCGAAAATTCCGATCTTTTTTTTTACGAATTTCAGTTGTATGCAGTTTGAGAGCTATAAAATTCTCCAAGCCATCATTTTTGCACTTTTTTCTCATTCTTCTTATTTGTACTCTCTTCGTCAAATTGCAGCAAGTTATTTCTGTTTTTTTTCCGTTTGTTTATCATTAAAAATGCTCGTTTTTCAGGCGGAATTTCCCACAGAGATGCTTCTCCAACGTCGGTAGTGTTGAGAAAAGGAAGACAGATATAAAAGAAAGGAGCGAAAATGACGATTTCGTACACGTTGGACGTGTCCCAAACCAACATCCAGAGCTTCATGAAGCTGCTTTTTCGGTGGCGCGGAAGTGTTTGGAAGGTCCTCAATTATGAATCCCTTAAAGAACTCCTAAAAAAGTTCAGAGAATAAAAAAAATGAGTTCGAAAAATTTAGTACAAGGTTTAACAACAAAATGAAGGGAAAAAAAAATCCCATATCCAAAAAAAAATAGCTGGATTTCTTTTTGCATTTAAAATTAAATCTGATGAAAAAGTTGTTATAGGGATTGAGAAAAAGAGAAAAAAAAAGAATAAAAAATTCATTATTCTGTATAATTTGATGAAGTTAATACTTGGCGAGAAAAATTTAATATTCATAGATTTTTAAATTGAAAAAAAGACACTTAAAAATGTAAAAAAAGTGTTTGGGATCAATTTTTTTCACAAAGCAAACGGAATTTTGCGACCAAGGACAGAAAACATGGAAAAAAGTCAAAAAAAAGTATAATTTTTGAATCAATGAGAGGAATTTTCCTAAATAAGTTTGATAGAAGTTTTTAAATCATATTTGCATCGAGACTTGTTGAACTTTTTAAAAAAATGGGATTCAAAAATGAGAAATTGAAGAGTTATTCAGTTTTGAAGAAATGAGTGAGAAAAAGAGAGCAGAAAAGTTTGAGAAAAAATGAATTTCATTTTTAAAAAAAAAAGTGTTCTCAAAAATTTGAGTTTTTTGAGGAAAATGTCATTTTTATGAATGAAATACGCTTTCAGGCGGTTCTGGAACGATTAGTGTTGGCGACTTTTTTGTTGTATTATAATCATTTTTTCCATCAGTTCCCTGTTCCTTCCACTATTTAATTTTTTTATTAGGTCATTGAATAGCAGTTGCAAAATTCGAAATTAAAAAAAGTAGAAAAAGGTTTTGGATTAAAAAAAGTTAGAAATTTGAATTTTTGTAAAGATTTTTTCATTCATTTCATTTCAAGTGTTTATTCGCCATTCCACAATCTGAACGACAAATACAAAAAATAACACATCAAAACAATCAAATAAATCTAACAGCTGATCTGTGGAAACGGCTGGAGGAAAAGATTGTCTGTATAGACGGTGCTAACCCCCCATTTGGTTTTTAAGTATAGTCAATGTTTCTCGACTTGAAAGGCGAGGGACGCGGGGCAAGGGACGGGACGCGTAGCGTGTGCGTTCGCGGTTCTTGGCACGAGTTCAATACAATTGCCTTCGACTATTCAAAAAGCTCGGCAACCGCTCTTTTTCAATGTTTTCTACTATTTTTTGATGCACAAATGAACATAATCAATAAATAATTGAAAAAGGAATGAAAAGAGCGAAAAACGGGCTTTTCAAAGAGTCGATGGCGGTTGAATTGAACACGTGCCAAGAACCGCGAACGCACACGCTACGCGTCCCGCCCCCTGCCCCGCCTCCATCGCCTTCCAAGTCGGGAAACATTGACTATGTTATCATTTTCTTCAATGAAAAGAGACGTTTCAGGCGGTTCTGGGACAATTGTTAGTGTGGACGTCGGCGTTTCTGCTCATCAGCTGTGTATATCGATACTTCCTGACGCCTTCTCAACAGACGTTGGCCGATCACCTTCCTGATAATCGATAATCGGAGATTCTCAGGGTTTTCGAGCACCTCGTCCGTTATTTAGACGCGAAGCTCGACCAGAACATCCCGCTCACTTTCATGCTCGGATTTTTCGTTTCTTTCGTCGTCGGCCGATGGGGATCCATCCTCAACGGAATCGGCTGGATCGACGAGTTTGTTCATTTATTTTTGATGCGAAAATGTTGGGAAAACAACGTAGTATTCATGGAAAACCAGACTATTTTATTTCTGGGTAGGGGTTTGAAGTAATATCTTTGGAGAATAGAAAAAATCACCCATCAGAGACGCTTTCGAAGTAATTTGTTTTCAGAAAATTGTTCCTAAAACTTCAAATTCAGAAAAAAAAAAGTTGGGCGAGTCTCAAAATCCCATAATACGAGTCATCGCTGTTTCTCAATTTCTTCTTAAGAACTTCCAAGTTCATTTCAGAACTTTGTATATTGTTCACTCCTATAAACATGAACGAAAATTTGAAAAGCCGTGGTCGCACTTGGAATGGCTCTGAAGTCGAAGTTTTGAAATTTAGCATTTTTCACTTTATTTGTCGAATACCGAAGCGCGTGAGTCGTTTTTGGTCGGGTGCGCTTTAAAGCAGCTGCCCAACGGTAAACCATTCCAAGTGCTGTCGTGAGCTTTCGCAGTAGGGTCAATGTAGTAAAAACTGCTAATTAATTTTGTGACCCGCTATTCCAAAACTATTTTTCAAGTTAACTTTCCAAAGAAAAATGAAAAAAAGAACCCAAAAGTGATGTTTTCAGTGCTTCTTTGTTGTTCGCATCGTATATAAGGGGTCGTGACGAACCGACAAGAATCATCCGCCGCAACTTGGTACGGTGTTTTCTGGCTACAGTAAGCCGAGCGGTTGGCTACAGTAAGCCGAGCGGTTGGCTACAGTAAGCCGATCGTTGCAAGACCTATTTTGAAATAGCCAGAATTACTTTGAAAATTAGTAAAAAGAAATAAATGAACAGGTACGGTACATGGTGCTGACACAAGCCCTCGTGCTGCGGGACATCTCGATGCAAGTTCGAAAACGGTTCCCGACGATGGATACCCTTGCTGCTTCAGGTTATTCCTACATATTCTGAAAAAAGGAAGAATTTTTGCTAATAAATACGATTGCAAAAAATTTGGAGGATTTTGAAGAAAACAGTTTAAAAAATCAGAGCATTTTTCAACTTTTTTTCTTTTCTAGTGTAGAAGCGTGTCTATTAAAATTCAAAAATCTATCAGTTTCTGAGCTATTTTTTTTCTCTTTCTTATCTTCGACTTATTATCTCTGTCACAAATGAAATATGAACTTAAAAACGCCAGAGTGGTCCCTAGAGGGCTTATGGAAAGACAGCTCCTATAGTGAACAAAGAAATGCTCCCTAGAAGCCTGATTTTCGGTAGTTCTCATTGGGTTTAGGAACTGATTTCTAAGGCTCTAAAGCTTAGGAGGTTCCTATAGGGATGTTTTATTTTTTGTTCGGATATATTATTTAAAAAGACGTTTGATTTTTCCTGTGTTTGAAATGGTTTTAATTTTTTTTAAAAAGCTATTTTTTAAGTTTTTCACATGGAAATGCATCTTCTTATTTCATAACAATAAAGTCTAGCATGCTCCCCTAGAGTGGCCACTTTGTAAAGCTTTAGTGCCCCCCCCCCCCTTATAGGTTGAGGTAAGGTGGTCCCTGAAGGAGACCTTCAAGTGCTCAATAGCTGCCCCTCTAGGGACCACTTTGGCTTTCCTGAAATAGAATCAATTTTTTATCATTCTTTTTCGAATATTTTCTTTCCAGGTCTCATGACTGAAGAGGAAATGGAAATATTGGACGAGGTCAAAGATCCTTACAGCAGGTTTGTTTCCCTCAATTTTTCTTCAAAGTAACCAGAAATTATTTCAGATATTGGACTCCAATACAATGGAGCGTCAATTTGGTGTACGAATGCCAAAAAGAAGGGAAAATCGAGAGTTACTATCTGATGAATAAAGTCGTCGATGTAAGATCATTTATCTATTTTTGTGAGATTATAGCAATCTCGATAGTATTATCATATGATTTTCGGCGTTTGAGAATTTATTTCGACTTCTTTTAGGGATTTTTTCAGGCTGTGGAAGTTTTTTTTCTTTTTTTTTCGTAGATTTTTGTTAACTTATATCATCTTTTGTGTTGGAATTTCATAAATTCAGGAGATCAGCAAGTTCCGACACGGGTTGGCGTCGCTTCTGAAGTACGACTGGGTGCCGGTTCCTCTGGTGTATCCTCAAGTCATTTTTCTCGCCGTCCGCATTTATTTCGTCATCTGCTTGTTTGGCCGGCAGTTCATCGTTACGGGACCGAATCGCAGCGGCGTGAGTTGAAAATAAAAATCGGCGAAAGTTGAAAACTGGCCCTCACTTTTCGCACGTCGCAAGGGAACTTTCAGAAGGCAACGTTTCTGCCTTTTTTTCTCTGATTTTTTTGATTTTTTTAATCGTCAATTTCTTATTCCTTTCGCTATTTAATTTTAAGCGTTCAAAAATGAGTAATTTACCAAAGAAATTTTTTTAAAAAAAGCGGGAAAGATCGGAAAGTCCCCCAGCGATATTGAAGCTCGGCCAGCTCGGCCTATGTTTCCCAGTTAGTGACAACTTTAGGGGAGCTTAGTCGTTTATTGTTATGAAATCATGAAAAGAAGCATTTTCATTTAAAAAAACTCAATAAATTAACGTTTTTTTGAGTGAAAAATATATCAAACAGAGGAACAATCGATCGAGTTTCATAAACGTTTTCTCAAGTTTCAAATATGAACAAAAAATCAAAGAACCCCTATAAGAACCACTCAAGCTTTAGGGGCTTAGAGATCAGATTTTCAACCTCTCTAGGGATCACTGCGGAGTTTCAAAAAGGAAGATTTTCAGATTGATCTGTGGCTACCGATAACGACGATGGTCCAGTTCATTGTCTACATTGGATGGATGAAAGTAATATTTTTATAAATTTTTCACAGAGTTATACCGGAACTTGGGTTTTTTTTTTCCATGAAAGAGAAAGGAGATCACTCTGAATTAATGTAGAATCGTCTTCCTTTAAAAAATAACCTTTCGGACCGTTTTTTAATGACAAAATTTTCCAGTTATTAAAAAACGAAGTTTTAACTTTTTAAAGTTTAAAAAAAGTCTAGGTCGTTTTTCAATGAATAGGGATGAAAAATTTAATTTTATTTCACATTTTGCAGATTTTGAGTTTTGCCGCTACTTTTGAGCGAATCGAAATGGGAAAAATCTTATGAAAAGAGTCAAAAATTTGCTTTTTCCTCCTTTAAAATCAAAGAAAAACGTTTTCAGAAAGCTCAAATTGCAAATTTCTGCAAATTTCTAAGAAATATGTTTCAGTCTTGAGCCAAAAACTCGGTGAAAAAAGAGAAAAACATAATTCTAAGTTTTTTCCAACTGGAGATTTTAAAAAAATGTGTTTATCCAGGTACAAGTTTATTTTGATTTTTTTGATAAACATATTTTTTCTCAGGTCGCCGAGGCCCTACTAAATCCATTGGGAGAGGACGACGACGACCTCGAATGCAACTACGTCATCGACAAGAATCTGATCGTAAGCTTCCAAATTCCTACCGTAACCCTCCATAATTATCACACAGTTGATCGAAAGCTACCGTAGTCCAATTGTTAGATATCGTGGTGTTTTGTGATTTGGCTTCATTTTTTCACCGTACAGTAATACATATAGAAGAGTTTTGGCCGTGAGATTGCGCCGCGGTGCATGATACTGTAGGTACCGTAGCCCCGCCCCCTAAACATACCATTTTAGACCGGCTTCAGTATAGTCGATGAAGTGTGGAAGCCTGACAAAGAGGTGACAAACGAAAAGACTAACCTTACAGTAATCCTTTTTTTCTCGATTTTTCGAGAAAATAGGAGTTCCTAACGCTTTGCATGTTTGGTTGCTGGGAAACCTGGCTTTCGCTTTGTTGCCGTCATTATTGCTCATGTTATGGAAGGATTTTGAGCATGATTCTGGGCTTTTTCTTGAACAAAATTGCCATCCATTGGACCAAAGAAAATATTTTAAAATTTTAACCAGCATTTCTAGGGATCACTTAAGAGTGCTGGCGTCGCTAAAGTGGTCCCTTGAAACCACTTTAGCGACGCCAGCAATGCTCAAAAACGCCCGGTTTGCGTAGAAGATTCTCAATCAAACTCTGCCAAAAACAACCGAGTCCGATGGAGCGCATTTGTTCTATACTTTTTCCAAGATGGTCATGAATGGACTAAAGTATTTTGTGATAATTTCACATGAAAAATCACTCAAAACAGCCTGAAGACTAATTTATTGGTCTGATGATAACTTCCATCGCCTTGCAGAGCTGTGCGCCGAGCTTTTCTTTTAACTTATGTGGGTCTCGTATTTCGAAAACCCTAAAAACTTTATCTTTGGCTTTTTTTCAATCAAAGGCAGTCTATTCAGTTTGTCAAATTTTCAAAAACATTTTATAAATTCGAAAAAACTTCCTGAATATCAAAAGTCCCACGCGCAGCTCTCCTCTCTTCCTCCCAGCTTCTGCCTTCTCCCGATTTCCCATTCTTGAGTCAAGATAAAAACGTTTCAGACGGGTTATTCGATGGTGGAAGAGCACCTGGCCCGAATTCCCAAGCAATGTCACGACGAGTTCTGGGGCATCGACAAAATCGCGCCGTTGTATTCGATAGAATCTGCGGAAAGATCCGTTCATCCGCTCGTCGGAAGCGCAAGCAAGATCAAGTCGGCTGCACATTTTATTGAAGTGGAATACAGAGGAAACTTTGCAGCCTTGTCAAAAATCGAAGAGAAATCGTCATGACGCCGCACAAGAACAAGCTGAGTGAGATCGATCCCACCGAGCAGGTTTGTTCGAGACTTTTATTTTCAGAGAAGGTTTTAGGAGAATCTAGAAGGACCACAGATTGAGGAAAGTCTCAACAAGAACAAATTAATGGAGGTTTCAGAAAGCCTATTTACGACGAGTTTGCGTGGCTGACCACAACGCGAAGCACGCCAAGCAGAGAAGTATCGAACGGGCGAATTCGCCCGACACTTGTCTCAGTCGCGTCAGAAGTCGCTCAAAGTGGGTTCGAAACAACATTTTTGTACTCATCCGAAGTTTTTTGAAAGATTCCAAGTCGCTTACTTCACTGATTCATTAGGGGTTGAAAGATAATCGAAAAAAAATTTTCATTTTAACTCTGGAATTAGTAAAACACTCATTTTTTTATACCGATGCAAAATGGTAATTTTAAAAATGAATCAAAGTAAAAAGGATGGATGAGACGTGTTTATGTACGAAGATGATGTTTTGAATTTTTTTTTCTTTTTCACTCATTTTGAAAAGCAAAAATATCGAATAATGGGATTTTTCGGCTTCTCAAACTATAAGCCAATCCCTCGAATCACCATTTTCAAAAATCAAACTGTCGTTTTTTTCTCTCCAAGTTCTTTATTTGGGGGTTTTTTTAAAGATAACTCGAATTATGTTGTGTCAAAAAAATATTTTTTTATGAATTTTGAGCTGAAAAATAAAGCTTCAAAGGAGATTCACCTAAATTGAAATTTTATTTGTAGTTGTGTTATTTTCTTAAGATTCAAAGATTGAAAAACAAAAACAAGCGGGAAATAAATCCAGGTTTAAAAAAATCGGTTTTTTTGGCTTTAACCTTTTTATGATCCGATCAAAGACGTTTTGATTTTCGCTACATTTCGGGTGCTACGAAAAGAGCGCGTTTTTTCCATTCTGATTTTTGAGCTTTTTAAAAAATGATAAAACGACGAGAAGCGGTTAAAAAGCATCAACTATCTTTCGAAAAAAAAAACGTCTCTTATCGCAGTACCGAATTTCGAAAGGACATTTCGTTTCCCTCTGAGAGATTCACTAAAAACTCCCCATTTTTAGATCGGAGTTACAGTTTATCCAATTTTACGAAAAGTAAGTCCGCATGGTGTGGTCCACGTGTTGTTCTTTTTCTCCTCTTATCTTTTTTCTAACATCCGTAGTATCGTAATCCTATATATTAAAAACTAAAAATTTTTCATCAGTGAGGATAGAAAAAAAAACGATTTTCAGCGGGAAATTCCGGACGGTTTCAACAAATGGCGTTCCTCGAAACGGAGATGATCCGTGGCAACGTTCGGGTCAGTTCCTTTGGGTTACTGTAGAAATTACAACAATAAAAAAAGCGATTTTTCACTGCTTGAAAGCACAATTCAGTTTTCCCTCCCCTATTATTTGGTTAGGATCTGTGTGCCAGGACTTGAAATTCCACCGAACGACATTCCGCTGTTCCGCTGCGTGCGTCCGCGAAGCATCTTTCGAATTTCACGCTTTCAATTGATTGTTATTGCTGTGGGAGCACATGAAAGTAGAGTACTTTAATAAAAGAAAAAAAAATTAAATGCGCGACGAAGGTTCGCAGAGACGCGCAGCGGCACAGCGGAATGTCGTTTGGTGAAATTCCAAGTCGTAGCTGTAACTTCTTTTCTTTTTGTTGCACGTTAAGTTATTCATAGTTATAACTTTAATCACCTGATAGGCAAAGATTGTGTTCTCAAAAATGAATAATTGCAAAAAACTAAGGGAAAAAAATGAGTAATTTAGGATCGATCATATAGCCGGAGGTGAGTTGGAACGGATTCAGAAAGCTCACAAATTTCATTAACTTTTAAGAAACTTTTGCATGAATTTCGCTTTGAGTATTGTTTCCTACTAATATCTTTCACAATTTTTGGACAATATTGGATCGATTCATTTTTCTTGCATGCCTTTTGAATCTCTCTAGAAAAAGGTAGATGATATTGGGAGTGTTTTTTTTTAATTATAGGAACTTATCAATTAATGAAGCTTTTGTAAAAATTTGAACTTTTTGTAGAATCGATTTTCTCAAAGTTTCTACACGTTTCAAAAAAAAATTGCAGAAAAAGATCAGTTCGATTTAAAGTCAGAATTATAGCAACTTTGAAACCAAGTTTAACTGTTCTTTATAGTGTTCACAATTGTATGAACTACTCTAGGAATATAGTCCATTTTTCGCGACTTGAAAGGACTTGAAAATTCTTTGCGCCCTCTTCATCTCTAGACGTCTCTCTCATGTTTGCGTGTTGTTTTCATGTTTCTCTGACTTCGTCAGTGAGGGAACACAGAGACGCAGACACGCGAAAACTGTCAAGTCGCGGTGAACGGACTATATTTAATTTTGAAGTTTTTTAAGCGTTTTTTCAATATTTCAACTGAATTATACCTTTATTAGAAGGCTTTGAAAATAAAAGTTTTGCCGACTTTTTCATTCATACATAACTAACCGAAAAATATTTGATTGCTGTGCCTTTTTGTAACATCACCTCGGCTTTCGATTTCTTGAATAATATTTGAGTAACCTGTCAAAGTTTTTCAAGAATTTTTCAACAATTTCAGGAGAGACTGAACAAAATCACGGGCCGCACTCCAACCAAGTTCATCCACACACCCATTCCATTCCTATCGGTCAAGGTAATCAAAATTCAAGTTTCATTTTAAAAAATCAGAGTTTAAATAAGATAACGTCTGCTTAACTGATTTTTTTTATTATCAGGAGGAAAGATTATCAGAACAGATCATTTTCAATATTTTAAAGAACCTTTTCACGCACTCTTCGACATAAATAATCCTGGATCTTTCAATCACATTTCCCAATTTCAGACCCAGAGCTCGGTCGTCGGCCGTAACCGCATCCTACAGTAATCTACAGTAATACGCCTATTTTTCCGCATCGGGTCCAACGGCCAGCCGTTCAGAACAATTCCCAGACCGGTGTACATTGTGCTTGAAATGTTTCTTTTTGATGCCTTTGGGCGGTTACTGTAACTTTTCAAATTTCCAAAACGTTTTACAGTATCCCTACAGTAACCGCTCAAAAGATGATCCAACTGTGATACGCGCACAAAAACGCAAAGCTTTTGTCCCCTGAATACGGTAATTTCCCACGAAAAGAATCTAATCGGTGTCCTTTTTCCAATCAATACGCTAACATTCGAAAACCGTTGAACTCATGTCGAAAAGTCTGTACAGAGTGCTTTAATGATAATAATAAATATTTCTCTGACTGAGTTTTGTATTCAGACGAGGCTTCGTTCTCTTAAAACTATTTTTTGAATTTTGAATGTTTCATTCTAAAAAGTTGCAGAAGATTGTCTAAAATCAATTCAGAGATTCCTGTTCGAAAAAACAGGAAAAGGTCTCGAAGCGATGATCCGTTTTCAGTTTGAAGTTGGGTCAGGCAAGACTCCTGTGCATTTTACGTCGTGTTCAAAGCAAGTTTGACGCGCGGTCTTTAAGGGTCCCCTCTAGGGCTATTAAGTATTTTTTAAATGAAGTCTTTATTTGAATTCGCTTTAAATTTATTAATTTATGAAGTTTATCAACATTTTAATCTCGAAAAAAGATTTTTATCAACTTCGTTCTCAACTTTCACTGCTTATTTTTGTCTAACTACTCTGATACGTTGAAAAAAATCTCGAAAGAGTTATTTATAACTTTCAAATTAATATGAAGTGATTAGGAACGTATAAGGATCATTTTTTTAAAAGAAAAAAATTAGCGCAACTCATTTTTTTGAAAAATTCCCTTTTTTAAATCAAAAACAATACCGCAGACCGTATTATATGATTTTAAAGGTCAATTCAGAAGATTTGAATTTTTTTTCATTTTTTTCAAAGTGATTCGAAAGAATATTTAAATTGAACAAAAAAAGAAAAAAGATATATTCGTACTTCGCACTACTTAGCCTCTCAAAATATAGTAACCCACAAACTTTTTCTTGGAACTTTTCCTCTTTGAACCAAAAAAAAAAAACATCTTCACTTCATAACAAAAAGACAGGCTGTAACAAAAATTGGATAGAAAAACCTAAAATATCCTAAAATTTGGGTGCTTTCCGTCGTTCATAATCTGGGCGGTACATCCGTTTCGTTGAGCATGAAAGACCTGAAAAATGAATGGAAATGTGCGGAAATTCTCTGGAAACCTGTAATTGTTGGCGCGGAACATGCCGTCATCAATGAGGAATCGGCTTTTGTCAATCTGGAGGAAAAATGAATGGAAACACGCAAAAGGTGGAGTTTACCTGAACATTACCGAAAAGGAACTGGAACAAGATTCTGAAGCCCTCGGAACGACTTTCATCGGCCATATAACAGCCGACGGAGAGCTCCCTATTGAAGTGCATCTGAAAAATTTTGAAATAAGTATCACAAAAAATAATTGTAATTTAAGAAAATCTTCAGTCGCACTCAAGAACATAGATGGGCAAGTTCAGTACTCATTCAGCCGGGGAGGAGGGGTTGGTTCACAAAATTTTTGGAAAATCAGGGAATAAAATCAAGTTTCAAGCTCAGGGAGGTAGTATTAGCTTTAATTTAAAAAATCTTGGAGGGGGTCGGCGGCCTTGAAAAGTAGTCTGTTCCTCTCCAAGTGAAAAAGGTGTTCATTTCAAATTTTGATGAAAGTCATCCTTATCATTAAAAATAACTGCGATTTTTGCCTTTTACTAGTTTGGTCGGTTCAAAATGTACAAAGGGTTCGTCGATCGTATTTTTTTGAAAACAAGGATTTGAGGAGGAAATTCTTGGTAATAAGGACGCAATTTGGGAATACTTTTTGAATCAATCTATCGTTGAATTTTTTTAATATTGATATAAAAACCAACAATAACGCTCATTTCTCAACGGTCAACTTTCACTTTTACCTCATATTCTTCTCTTAAATTCTGGTATTTATCTTAATTTTCCAAAAAAAAATGAAATGAACTGAGAACAGGTTATACATGACCAAAAAAAATTTTTCAATTAAAAAAATTTAAAAAAACATAGTTTACCAAAATTCTAATTCAAATTCCATAAACTTGAAATAAAAAAACTGAACCTCAATTTATTGGAAAATTTGAAATTGCAAACAAATGATCACTGAAAAAAGTTCGAAAACTCAACTTTCCACTTACTTCACAAAATAATCAAAGTACGACGAAAAACATGGAGAAGAAAGGAAAAAAAGGAAAAATTTAAAGAAATCCTTAAAAAAAGCCTATCCTTATTGAGCTAACTATTCACCGAAATCTCAAGTTTTTAAGAAGGAAAAATTTTTGAAAAAGAGAAATACGCAAAAACTACATAATGAGTTTCCCTAAATTCAGATTTTGGTAAAGAACATTTTATTGAAATAAACCATGAACCTGGGAAATTCGCTTCGATTTTCAGAAGTTTTGTTAACAAAAAAAACGGACCTTTTCCGTTCCGACGATGAATTTGGAGCGGACGGCGACGAACTCGGCGACATTTTCCTTGTTCTGATAAATTCGCAGTAGTCGCAGTTGTTGAAGTCGCGTCAAAAGGGCCACGACGCAGAGAACGGCGAAAAGTGGCACAGCGACTAGAGATCCCAGCTGAGAATTTTGTGGTATAAAAAAAAGACCAGCAAAAACTGGAACGGTGACTTTTCCGATTTTTCTCATATTGCTAGGGGACTTTTCGACGAGAAAGTTTCCGACGAATCCTTTTCCGACTTTTTCTCCATAAAATCGTCGTTTTGAATCTTCTTTTATAAAGTAGGTAGTTGACTCATGATCGAAACACAAAGAAATAAGAAAAAATGCTGATAGATCTTTTATAAACAGAAAAATCTAAGGGAAAAAAGTCGGAAAACTCCTTGGCGATATGAAAAAAATCGTAAAACGTCGCCGTTCAAAAATTCGCTGATCATTTTTTTCATACCGAGAATTTGCTTTTTTCGTATTTTTAGAAATAAACAATGATTATATGTTCAGAAAGCTCTCAACCACATTTTAAAAAGGACAATTATTGAAAAAAAAAAACTTGTGGATATCTTTTTTTAAAAAAATTGATCTTCTAGAGCACTTTAATTTATATAATCTGCTGCATCGTATGTCGATTTATTAAGTTTTGTTCGCAGGATTCAGATTGGTTTCTTGTACCGAAATATTATGTCTCAAATAAATACTTGATTGTAAAATCTACACTAATCTTTTTCCGAGAAAAAAAGGCTGCTCACAGTAAATGACAATGAATTTTGACGATATAAATAAGTTTTTGAAAAATCCGGCTCAAATTTTAAATTTTTGGTTGACCATGTGCTTGATTTTCTATGAAAAAAAGCAAAAAAATAATTAATTTTTTTAAGATCTTTCAATGTAATTATTTGGATTTCTGTTGAGTCTTGAATATCCAGATTTCCTTTTGATATAAATTTATTTTTATACCATATTAAAAAAATCAAAAAAATAAACTTAAACGACTTCAGGAAACTAGAATTACCGTCTCTTAAAAACGTTATCTTTCTTTCAAAAAAACTTAATTATTAAATTTTAAACCTTAAAGTTCGGGAAAAACAAACCTCTTTCGCATCGATTGTCAGCTTTTGGACGATTTTTCAGCCGATCCCTCTCTTCGTTCTTCAGGAAATCCGCGACGGCCACTGCAGTTCCCACCAGAAAGCACGGGACAAACGCTCCGATCATGAAAAACGATCTCGAAGCACCTGTAAAAAGACTGCTCAATTTAAAACATACATTTCTAGCGAAAAAAGGCTTTTCAAAGGTTAAAATTTCGTTGAATGTTCACAAAATTTGACGAAAAGTAATGAACTTTTGACAAGGATATTCATTTTACTCGGAACTTCAAAATGACTTGAAATTTTGTAAAAAAAACGCTTCTAAATGCACTATTATAATATTTTTGAAAGATTCATCATGCAAAAGTTTTAATTTTTTTAGAAATTAAGCTTCAAAACGCAAAAAAACCTACTTACAAAATATCGTAAGCTAAAAATTTCTTCACACAGTATTCAAAAAAATTTTTGAAGCTTTGAACGACTTTCCTTATGCTAAAAAGATGAAAAAAATTACCAAGATCGCGATAAATCAAAGTATATTTGCCGCTATCGATCTTGTCCCATTGGTGGGCTCGTCGAACCAAATTTTCATCAAAAATTGGCCCCTTCTTCCTGCAAAAAACATAAAAGAAATGCAAAAATATTTCCTGCAATAATTTTTTGATCGGCAAGATGATCACAAGAAACGTAGTTAACCTCGGAAACTCAAAATTATTGTGAAAACGACCAGCAGGCCTTCCAAAAAAATCTGGCACAAGTCGGCTATTTTTTTAAAAAAATTTCTGATTTTTTTCCATCAAATTTTTTTGAATAAAAATTCAAATTTTCTGATTTTTAAGCTTCATAGCTTTTTTTATTAACCCACAAAGAAATAAAAAAATACCGTGAAAAATGAAATCTTTCAGCCTCTGATATAAACTTCCATGTCGCTGAAACGTCACAGAACGACGACTGCGTGCAGAATTTAACAGTAAAGAGCACCGAATATGCATGTCATACCATGTTTTTCTGAATTGAATAGTTGTTTCCAATCCCGAAAAAAACTTAAAAAATGAGAGAAAATTGTCTTGAAATTTGGAAGGCACGACAAAGGATACATTCCTCGAACCAAAAAGATGAATTTTTTTTGGATCTTTAATCGTGTGAGCGTCCAGATTTTCCTTCAAATTAATTCATATAAATAAAAAAATAAAAATGAAAAATCAAACATTATCGGACCACACGAAACAAATCTTTTTTTCATTATTTTTTTCCCATTATCGAAATACTTTTTTTGCACTATGCCGTCCTTTTTTTCAGGTATTTTTTTTCTGTTTATCGTCAATGGATTCATGTAAAATTGGGCTTTTTTGGGAAAACTGAACTAGAACTGAATCTTAGGTCCACTAAAAATGAGATATATCTACTTGTGGACCCAAAAGACGATCCAAAAAACAAGAATCTTCTGAAAAAATTTTAAGCACTTGTTAAAACGCACATTATAAAATGAAATACACGATTTTCTTTTTTTTTTAGAATGGTTCAGTCACAAATTAACCTTTGCGCGGGAAATCCAGTGTATCGTCTACATTGCGTCCAAAACAGTAGACCACACGCCTCAAGAAAAATAATGAATGGAAACTCCGTCGAATCTCTTTCTTTGAAAACTTCTAAAAAACGAAGCAAAGGTTTACTATCGCAAAAAGTCAAACGCCGAGGCAATTTTGCCCCAGCGTGACCAAAAAGTTGATTGACATCAGAAGTAAAGACGAAAAAAAAAACAACCAAAAAAGGGAAATTTTGGGAAATAATCACAGTGACGTTGGGGATTGGTAGATGGGCTCATTTTTCTTCAAAATGAATCAAAATGAGTTGCCAGAGGTGATTTCGGATGCTTTTTCAGACAACATACAATTTGAATAAATCAGAAAATGAAGAGGATAACACATAGAATCAACATAGAAGCACACGTATAGACGAAGCTACGAAACTAAAGTTACATCGAAAAGATTCAAAATATGATTATCTATCGCTTGGTGGAAGGAAAATGCCATTCTCTCCTGAACACAACGTGAACAAAGTTACCGTAATCCGAAATTCAAACAACGTCGAGACATAAGCTCTCCAAAAAAGGTCAGTCAAAAACATTTAACGTAGCAATTGAGGCGATTCGATGGAAATGCAATATTGCTACACTGCTTAAAACAGAAATACAGTCGAAGCTAAGGAAAACACGAAAAATTATTAAATTTTTCTTTTGTTCTCTAGGAACAAAATAGCAATAGAAAGAGGAGAAGGAACAAAAAACATTTGAAATTATTAAAGTTGACCCATGCTTGGTGCGGATACTGCAGACTAATTATTGAAAGCAAAAAGTGGGGGAGAAGAATTCAATAAAAAGAGGTAAAGGAAAAAAGCTGCCTTCTGAAACTTCAGCTGTACAATCGCAATGGTCGAAAAAAGAGGACTTCTACAGCCATCTTCTAAATTCCCTAATTTACAAGGTTTTCGTTCGAATTAACAACAAAGACGCCATCGAACTCTGTACAAAGAAGAAGGAGAAAAAGTAGATTCTGATGAGGTCACGATGGAAACTGTACAAATCCGACGTCTTTAATTTTTGTAAACGTGTCAAGCTACCCATCCAAGTTGCCAGCTGAAAAAAGGAGAAAAAATCGACAAAAATTCAGACTACAAGAAAAGAAAAGAAAGGAGTGATCAAAAGTTCACACACACACGTACGAAAAGATGCAGAATGAGAAATGAGAAGGGGAAAACAATGTTTTTTTCGCGGAGAGCTTCATCGGGTGGCGCCGAAGGGATGTCCGAGGCCGTTGGCGCTGCCGTTAAGGGCGTGCGACGGGATTCCGCCGCCGATGACGCCGATGTGCGACGAAGAGAGTTGGACGGGCGGCGGCGGTACTCGCTGATGTGACGTCGGAATGATCGCGTACTGCGCCATGATCGGGATGTGGTCCGAAGGTACGTGCGGGTGCGGGAAACCTGCAATGATTTTCGTTTTGTTCATGAAAAAGGATTGTTGAAAAAGAGAAAAAAGAGCACTTGTGTAAACTAAAACTCCTATTTGTACCTTCTCCAACACCTTTTGAATCTGTCTTCAAAAATATTTCACCAAAAGAAGAGTTCCAATTTTTCAGCTTCAAGCGTTTTCGCCGAACTTCTCAAGAAATTCCAAACTAGAGTGAAAAACTGCCTAATTATTAGTTCAGATCATTCCGTGACAAGTATTTCGGTATAGTCCGTTCATTGCGACTTGAAAGTTTCCGACTGTATGCGTCTCTCTGTTCCCTCGTCGGCGAGGTCAGAAAAGAACACAGGAAAATGAGAGAGACGCCGAGGAACGAGGAGGGCGCAGAGAGAAAAACAGCAGTTTCAAGTCGTGAAAAATGAACTACAACTTTCATTCTAGCTGAAAAACCAATTCATCAAGCGGTAAAAGTAGATCATTTTATGTGAGATCCGAAACGTTGAAGTTGTTTTTAATCGCCTCTTTTTCTCTACTGCAATCGGTCTAACTGATTTGAAGTCCTAGGGTCAAAAAAAAACTAGATGTCATAGAACTATTTGCTTTCGTTGAACCAAACTGACCAAGAATCTTGTTGGTGGAGACCCAGTTGGAGTCAAACGAGCCAAGGACGCCTAGCCGAGCCAGCGACTGTGGGGTCGAGAAGATGTAGTCGATCATTCCCTTGAAGTCGAGCCTGGAAATGGGGAAATGAAATAACTTGGTGGGAAATCACATTCTTCTGGTTTTCTTTGTACAGTATGTGATCTCAAATATTATTATTAATTTATCAAAAATAGCTAACTTAAAAGTGATATAGCTGATTCATGGCTAGCTTAGGACTCTAAGGGGGCGTGGCTTGTCTGCCCTATCCACGAGCCAGGCACTATCTCGTGCATTATCGTGTCAGGACCCTTTTTTCGATGGCTCAAGCCAGCCGTGAATCAGCTATAAAACTGAGAGGGTGTTGGTTTCTAAGTTTTTCTGAATGAGAAATCTGGAAGCTCTCATCCTGGCCCGGTGTCTCAACGGGTGTACCCGCCCTAAACTCGGGTTTAGACTATACGATTTTCCCATGTTTTGAAACGGGAGATAAACGGGCGCAGGAAGAAATAGATCTGCTAAAATGGTGCCTTAACTGTGATAAAAAAAAGGCCAAAAAGTTCTACCGACTACGCTTTTACTGGCTTATACGGGTACACCCGCTGAGGGCCCGTATTGGTACTACTGATCAACCTCACCAGCACGAGAGGATCGTTTCGATAATTGAATCGGCAACATCGATAACTTCTTGCTAGACATATACGTAACAGGAAACTCACGTATAGTTGGTGAAGGGGTTGGTCGAGGGTTCGACGGCCGAATCGAGCCGCAGCGGATGTTGGATGACGCTCCGGTCAGAAGACGTCGAGAATTTGTCGAGACAAACGTCGTCGCGGAACGACTTCAGGTCCATGTGTTGTCGGGAGATGTTACCTCGCGACAAATACTCGAAAAACTCCTAAAAGATTGATCCTCTAAAAACTTTATTCGGAAAGAATCCTCAAAATTGAATTTAGAAAAGAAGATTGAATGGAATTTTTTTAGCTCAAAAAAAGTTCAATGACAAAAAAATTGAAGAAAAACGGTTGGAAAAATTCATTTTTTTGATAATCAATTTTGAAGCTTCTCAGCTCAAGCTCTTTCGAGACTTCAAAAAAATGAAAAAAAGTCCAAACTCAGTCAAAAAAATTCGATATTCATCCATGACTTGAAAACTTTCAAAAAATACATTAAAGTTACATAAATTTGAAGTTTTCATAAAGTTTGCATCCAATTTCTAGCCAAAAGCTAAAACATGAAATTGTTAAAATGGAGCGAAAAAGAGGCCCGAAAACAAGAGAAAAGGCTTCACTACTGACGTCGTCAAGGGAAAATCTAGAAATAGGCGCCAAAAATTGAAGCCCTCCGTCAAGTGCATGAAAACAACATGGCTGCGTAATCATTCGTACAAAAAACTCTTCGATATCTTTTGGAAAATCGTGATTTCAATGCTTTAACAGATGACAAACTTTGGATTTAAAACACCTTTGGAGAAAGAAAAATATAATACCTGAGTCAGGAAGTGAGTTGAGATCTCCGCAAATCAACACCGGGCACTGTTGGGTCGTTATTCCGAAATGTTTCGCTACCTGGAAAAAATGAATAAATTTTCTGAGAATTGAACTGGTGAAGAAAATCTTATCGGGAAATAGAAATTATGTAAAAAAATTCGATAGCTCAAAAAAACTTTGCGTTCAGAATTATTGAGCAAGGTCGATATGAATAAGTAGAAAAAAAGGTAAAATTTACATTTTTTTAATTTTCAAAACCCTCAAAAAAATCAACAAAAAAATCATTAGAAGATGTTCTGCTAAACCCGTCGACCTATCATTAAGTCTAACTCAAATGAGACAAACCAAAAAACTTTTGAAATTTTTTTATTAGAAACACTTTCCGTTTTTCACTCGAATTTATATATTTTCGAAACGTTTCCTAGTCTATTTATCCGAGTTTTAGCTTATTTTAAAAATAATCCAATCACAAGCTTTCTTTTCTGAGTTTTCTGTGTTCGATACTTTTCCCAGTCTATTTTTCCGAACTGTCAGTCTTTTTTCTTCCTCCAATCACCAACCTCTTCCAGAAGTCTGTACACCTCGTGAGCCAACATCATCGTCTGGACGAGTTTGACGTCGCAGAACTCGGGATCCCAATGGATGTGGGCGGTGCAGACGACGAGCGGATTTCCGACGACGTTGTCCGTCGCGGGGATCGTCACCCGACCTGAAGGCGTCGGATTCAAAAGCGGGAAAGGTCGTTGATTTTTTGCTTGATTTTTCGAATTTTTCTTTATTCAAGGGAGCGTGGTAATCTGTCTGCGCTCTCCCCCAAACCAGGCACTATCTCCTATTTTTCGTGACAGGACCCTTTTTTGACGGCTCAATACACACGAAACACAGGGAAGAATTAAAAGTCATGAAGAACACTATAGAATCCGCGGATTGCAAGACGAAAAACTGACGGTTCGTGTAGACGCTCTCCTTGATTTTGAGCACTGCGCAGAGGGCGATGTTGTCCCGGGGCATGACCCGGTTGAGCATATTCTCGGACATCGAGGCCCGTTTCATCGCCAGCTGCGTGAACTCGATCGTGTGCTGTCGTTCCAGGTCAAATCTGAAATAATCTTTTTTCATAAGTTCAAATTTGCTTAAGTTACGGGAAATATGTCTTAAAAACTTTCAGAAAAGCTCAAAAATCAAGCTTCATTTTGTCAAAAGAGTCTGTAAGCGGCCGTTTACCATAAAATTTTTTTAAACCGCAGCTAAATTTAATTTTTCTTATTTCTTCTATGAAATTGGACCGGATTTTTTCTCAAAAACACTCAATTTCTAACCAATCTTCAGGTTATTTCAAAAAGATCCCCCTTTCCAGTCCATTCACCATTAGAAAAAATCGAAACCAACACTCAAAAATCTCCAAACGATCTCTATATGCTATTTGCACAGCTCTCAATAGTCTGCCAACAAAACTTTCCCAAAAAAAAGCAACGAAAAAACAAAAAATAACCAGAGAACGGCTCTTTCCGGTGCTTATTTCATAACTATACAACTCGAAAAGTCTCGCCAAAGCTTAAAAATGATAAAAATAAAAGTTTCCAACTAAATTTTGATGCTTGAAACTATAGCTGTCTAGTTGATCCCGACCAAATTTACGTATAATTTGTGATCCTTGAAAAGAAGCCAAAATAAAGATTTATTATTAATAGAAGCTTGTTTCGAGCCAGGAATTCAATTCAAAAGGAGACATTAGATAGAAAAATAAACCATTTTTTTAAAATTTTTTTAAAGTTTCAAAATTTTTTTTTGTAATCAAACTATTACCAGACTACAAAAATCAATATTCCCAACTCAAATTTCGAAATAAAAAAAGGATAGATTTCACAGAATTTTTTCATTTTGATCTCACTTATTTTTTTATGAAATCAAGAAATTATCATTGAAAAAAAGGTCAGTTTTTCAAATTTCATCTCAAACTTTTCTGTTGCAAAACCTTCATGAAAAACAGAAGGCCGATTTTTTTGTGGCCTAAACCTTAAAAAAAGTAAAAAAAGAAACAAACTTGTCAGATTTCCAGAAGATGGCGCATCCGTCGACGTACTTCCTCTCCTCCTCTCCCATCGTTTTTGCTCGGGACTTGGGCGAGAAAGTTCCGCTGTAGCCCAACTTTTTCAGCTCGGGCAGGAACATCATCTTGTACTGCTCCGTTTCCACTTCCTGAAAATGTTCGAGGTGCTAAAAAGCGAATTTTAAAAAAGAAAGATAAATTTCGTTTTTGTTACACAATAATTTCGAGTTAACTTCATTGCAAAAAAGAGCAAATATAATTTTTTTGTTTTTCATGAAATTTTCTCCAGAAAACCTCGAAAGCCTCTCAAACTTCTCATTTATTAATTTCTGCTTTCTTTTCAATTTTCAAGCTTCATCATTTCGACGTTTTATCAAACTCAAAACTTCAAAGCCTGAGAAAAAAAAATCTTCTTTGAAATCAAACTCCAGTCTGATTTCTTAAAATCTACATCAAATCATTCCGTGTAAAATCTTCACTCGAAGTGGTCGCTCTCATTCTGAGGCTTCCACATAGAGCACGGTCTCCGGGCTCCAGCACAACATCCGCTACATTCTGAGCTCGTCAAGGCGCAACTGGATGAACTACGCGCAGAAGAACGAGGCGAAGCACCGTGAGACCATGCTTTCAACTCTTTCGACTACACGTTTGGACTTCTAGCTCGCCAAAGGCGGTTGTTCGTTATAGCTTTAAAAGTTCTTGTTCACCGCCTAGTCGATTACACCAGACTAAAACAACAAAATAAATGATTTGATTTGAACTCTAACGATTTCCTTATAAATAAGCCCAAAAATTTTCTATTTTTGGAATGTTACACTGAATTTTTTGGAGAAATCCCTCATATTACATTCTATATTCCCATTCCATCAATGAAATTGGACACCCTTCGCCGGAAGTTCCTGCCGTTCCTTTTTCCCACTTTTTTTGCTGGTTCTCCTATTCTTTCCGTGTGTTCAGGCATTCCGAAACTTGAGCTTGCTTCCCATTAGAAAATTAATAAAGGCCAAAGGCTATATTTTAACTGGAGAAGTCCAAAAGATGCCCATCCCTGTTGGGTCTGAACTTCTTCTAATTATTCTGGTTTTCGCTCATTCAACAGATAAACAAGTTTTTGCATGTGTTGCGTGCTCAGAAAATTGTTGCTATAAATATTGCTGACGCACAAAAAAAAAGTGAGAAGAGTTTTCAAAAACAATTATCAATCAAGAAATGCAAGAAAGAGTAGAATAAATTTCTCCTATTGATTTTTCAAATATCCTCTTTCAATCGGAATTCTTTCCGGTCTCTAATAAAGAAAAATTCGATAAAATGAATTTGAAAAGCTCTAGTGACCTCTTAAGAGGTTTTCGAGGAGAGGACACATAAGTGGCCACTAAAACCCTTCTAAAGCAGCCACTTTTTTGGGTCTGAATAGCCGAAACATCTCTCAGTGGTCCAGTAGTACCACTTCTAAAGAGGCCGCTTAAGTTGCCACTATTTCGACTACTACAGTGGCCACTAAAACGTGAAAACCCTGAAGAAACCACTAAAATTTAGCCCACCATAATAATAATACTTCAAATTCCTTTCAAGTGGTCACTATAGCACCAGAAACGCTCAGGGTTTTGCCAATTTCTCATTCATTTCTACTGACATTTTTTTCTTTTGAGGTTCTTAAATCTCCTTTGCAAACCTGTAGAGTGATGATATCGGATTCGTAGTTGCGGATCTCCTTCATGATGGCCATCTTGCGATATTCCCAGTTGAGAGCCCAAGACGGACAGTACGAATATTGATTGACCGTCGCATACTTGTCGCAAAGGACGTTGTAGCACAACACCGTGAATGTCGCTGAAAAGAACATGTTTTCTTCCATTTTAGTGTATAGTAGAGCTTTAATAACTCAATTCAACTGTAAAATCAAGCTTTATGAATGATTTATTTCAGTCAATTCCCCATGTCAACTCGATTGATCTATCCCCAGGTTGTACCAAAATCACTGCGACTGACTTCAAAACCGGTCTCAAAACTTTTCGAAAAAAGTAATTTGAGATCCGACACCAGACTATGGCGTATAAACTACAAAAAGGCCTATTTTCAGAAAAATATCTCTTTTCGGCGCAATTATTTTTATAGTCTACTTAGAATTGACGCAAACCAGCTTTAAATTGTAGTTGTATCTAAATGGGAGACTGAGTTTTATGATTTCGAAATACCGAATTTATTCGTTTTTCATAGACCTCAAGAACGGAAATGAGAAGTTTAGAACTGAACTATTTCCTCTTCAAAGGACACCAGCAACTTTTTTTTTAATCTCAAAAAAGTCCGTTTATCGGAAAAAAAAAAGAAGAACAAAAAAAAGCTGCAAATCCGTGCACAGGCCATTTGCGACGAGCGCTTTTTCACCTTAAGAAAAAGGGCACAATCGAAAGTTTTTTTTCCTTTCTTCTTCGCAAGGAAAAAAAAGGTTTCCACCAGTCATAGGCGGTGGATTTCGTCTTTTTGAAAAAGTTGAAGGTTTTCTTTTTAAACTTGAAATGTTCTGAACAAAAAAAGACAAGATTAATAAGTCATCTCCAAAGGCTTGAAAAAAACGGGTTCAACTATTAAAAAAACTTGAAAAGTTACATGAATAACGTAAAAAAAGAGATCTTAGGTTCGAAAAATTATTTTCAGAATGGAAAAACAATAAAAATCTAACAGTTTTTTTGCATTTTTTTCTCGAAAAAAATTAGTGGATTTTTGATTTTTAAAAATGAAGTCTAGTCTGTGATTCTAGGAAAGTTACTTGACTATTTGATTTTCAGACTCAAAATTGTAAATTTTTTATATTTTTCTTCCAGAAATGATGACATAAAGGCCTTCAAAAGTTAGAAATTTTTTTTTGAAACGATGAACCCCAGAAACCAGACGGTTCAGTTTTCCAATTAAAAACCCAAAAAATTTTCCAGCGAATAAAAAATTCCAAGTCGCGTGAGAACCAGTGACTTAATGAATTTTCGAGTGACCAATCTCCTATTTTATTCCTACGATATCATGAAAAAGAGAATAACGTAGTTGAATCGCAGAAAATACTCCAATCTTCGAATAAAAAACGAAAAAGATACCAATAGGTCGATCGGGATCTGCATGCCGTATCATCACCCAGCTTCGTTCCGGCGGCGGCGCGGTATTTACTGAAAAATCAACGAAATTATTAAGAAAGATCATTTTTTCACTGTAGTTCATATAATTTAGAGCATTTTATTGATACAATTTTCGTAAAACAAGCAGGAGCCGTTCAAGTCATCAAAAATTAAGCCTGGGTTAAAGTGGGCAACCTTTGAGATTTTTTTTTTTGATTATTTGCAATTTTTTTCCGAATCCCACTTTTAACCCTTAACCAGTAAACTAATTCGATTTCTAAGGTTTCGTTTTTACTTGCAGCTCAAAACAGTAAAGCTATCTTTGAAACCCCCTCACTTTTGAGCTGATCAACCGAAGAGAACTCAAAAAAAAAATCTTGTCAATAGTTTCCGGCGAAGTTTGCAATTTTTCAAATTTCAAGTTTCTTTTCTACGTCAGCCAAACATTTTCCAACCAATAAACCCTAAACTTACAGTTTTATACCATATCAAACCTTTAGAAAAGCTTCATTTCATTTCCTTTTCTTCCAAGTCAAAACAATCTTTGAAACCCCCTCACCAATTTGAGCTCATCAACCGAACAAAAGCCTGGAAAGGAGGTCCGAGATCATAAATAATTCCCGTCGTGTTTCAGAGACACACGCGCATGTTTATCCCACTCATTTCCGTGGCTCTTTCGGGCCTCCCATGGCAATAAGGCCCGTCGGGCCATAAAAAACGATGAGAAACCGCGAGTGTTTCAACTTCTTTTCCTTCTTTTTCCTGGTTTTCATGTGAGGAAGAGGAGAATAATTTATTCGAGGAAGTGCCAAGAGGCCTAATCATGTATGTGCCTTTGAATACCACGAATCAGTGAGGCGCACTCAAAAGGACTATGATTTCTGAGGCTTCAAAAGATTCAAAAGGAAAATAGAAGGTTCTTGATTTTTAGTTTCTAAGTCCGTTGGGTTCTAGGAAGAAGAAGAGAAGAAAAAAAAACGGAGAACTAAAATAAAAAAGTTCCGAATTCTAGTTCTTGTGGTGGAGCTCCAAGTTTTTGGAACATCCAACTAAAAAATATAATTTCAAAGTTTAGGAAACTTCTAAAAAAATTGTGAAAACTAACAAAAAAACTTTTTTTCAAGGTTTTAAAAAGCTTTTCTCATTTCAAGTATGATAAATTTCTGCTTGAAACCTTATTTGATAAATCCAAAAAAACTCAAATAGAAATTATCCTAAAGCGTTTATCTGGCTTTTTCCGATCCTGAAAAAAATTAAATTATTAAGTTCTGTCATAATTAACCCGATCCACCCAAAGCATCCAAACAAATTGCTACTTCCAACTTTCTCCAATTCAAATAAAGTCGAACGACCGAGTAAAAATGAGCCATTTCCCATTGCACCCGAGTCAAAGACTTCAAGTTGTCCCCCCACATCCGGCGGGGGACTCATTCCTCGGAGAGAACTTTCACTTTGAAACGTTCAACTGGAAGAAGAAGAAGATCGGGCCAAAGGTCCAAAAGGTGCACAAGTGTCGGAGTCTATTTGCGACACACACATCCACAACGCACACAACCGTGCATGCGATCGTTTCTCTTTCTGTTTTGTCTGTCCGGAGGCTTGAGAAGGGGAAAAACTCCTTCTCAAACGCAAAAAATTAAAGTCCGGATCGCTTTCATCGTGTTTTGTTTTGACAAACAACAAAACATCCGCTTTTTTGGTCAAATATTTTGAACCAACTGGAGGAGCTACGAAGACTCTAAATAAGAACAGACTTGTTCTGAAAACTGTCTTTTTTCAGCTTTCAAAAATTTGAGATCCTGATTTTCAAAAAATCCAATCACGGGGTGGCCTTAATAAAAAAAAATCAAAGCCATTTCTTTCTTCTTTTTTTTCAGTCAAAAACATTGTCTCTATCTTTCTTAAGGTCCTCTCCTAAGGTCAAATAAACTATTCTGAGAATCCTTGAGAAGATCTGAAGATAAAATAAATAAGAATAGCCTTATTTTTTTAAAAATTATGCCTCTCAAAAAAACTCAACGTTAAAGTTTTTACTCCTCTCGCTTTCGAAGTACTGATTGATAAGAGTTCGGAGAAAGAGAAAACTTTTTCAAAAAAATTAAAAACCAATAAAATTTCTGAAGGTTGAGAAAAAGAGCAAACAGAACGGCAGTTCGAAGTTTCCGAAAAACCAAATGACGTGAAAAAAATCAGTAGATTTTTTTAAAATGAAATCGGCTTTCTTTCAACTATAAGTTTGAAAAATAGATGGTTTATTCTAAAAAAATTTTTTTGAAATTGAATTTCTCAATCAAATAATGTTTTTTTGGGTGAATCAGAAATTAAGTTTTAGTTTTATTTCAGCTCTAAGATTGCATAAAATATCAAAAAAAGTCTGTGAAATTTAAAATTTCTTTACTTCTTTCAAAAATTCTCACAAAAATTCAGCTTTCCCTTCAGAATTTCCCAAATACTCCTGCTCAAAAATGCCCATCCCATCGGAATATTTTGCATTCCCAACTCTTTCCGGTGCACTTAGAAGTCCAAAGTGCGTTCTCAAAAAGTCCTGAACCCTTCAAAACGCCTCGAAAAAGTCCAGAGAACGTGCAGGACAAGTGCAGATGCGTGAAACAAAACGATTTGGCCGACAAGTGACCGGAGCAAATACACTCTAGCTCCAAAAACCAATTCAACACTTTTTTCCCTTCTTGACCATCTTGAAAAAAGACCAAGTGTTTGGAGTTTGAACTAGGGAAGAAGACAAGTCCAAAAAATCATTGCCAAAGGGAATAATTTAGATCTTTTTCTAGCATCTTCAAATGAATCTAGTAAGTCCAGAACGTATAGTTCAGAAAGAAAATTGAAAATCTCAACTTTTAGAGCATTCTGGAGTTTAATTTAAATTTGCAGAAGCTGAAAATTTACGAAAACTGCTTCAGAAGTCTTCTTTTCCTCATTCCAAAAAAGTTTCCACTAGAACATGAACTCCTTCGAGGAACCTCCAAAGCCAAAACTCCCTATCACTCCCAGAAAAAAAGAAGAAAAAAGAGATAGCGGAGAAGAAGTAAATTGGTTCGCATCCAAAACTCCGTCTTCCGTTTCTTCACCCCTCACGCAAAATTCAATTTTGACAAAAACCCCGAACAAAATTTTTCCTTCTTTTTTTTCTTCCGCTCCGAAACTTTTCTGCTCTTTCTATTGCGCATATGTGCGAGTGGGAGTTTGTGTGCGTGCCGATTTCAAAGAAAAAAAAAACGGCGGAAACGTCTGAAACTCAAAACTTTGGAACAGACAGGTTCAGGGAGAAGTTTTACAAAGATCAGATGCAAAAAGTGAGAATTTTGGCTTGTAGTCGATAAAGCGCTGAACATATACAACAAGAGAATCGACTCGAACATGAAATAAATATTTTCCTGAATATCCTTTTTGATGTACAACCTTCTTAAAAGGGTAAACTAATTTAAGCCTTTCTAAACCTCCTCGAGATCCCCCTAATCCTACCAAGTGCCCGAAACCACCTTCAAACTTTCGTTCCAAGACTTCTTCTCTGCAAAAAACTTCCAAGAACCTTCCAATTTCACGGACCATCAACCCTAAACAGCGGAAAAAAAGCTTGGTAAAAGCTCCAAAAAACGCATTTTTTCTTCCTTTTTTGGCGAAGCTGAGGAAAGCGACGTAAATGGCAACTTGACAGCTTTGCGAGTCTTGCGGAATCGGAAAAGATGTCTAAAGTTTTTTGAAAATAATCGTGATGGCTCAAATTGATTCAAATTTTGAGCAGTTTCCACGTTACTGTGAGAAAAAATGTTTTTATGTTCGATTTTCGCTTAACGTTAAAAATAACTTTACGGTAACAGTAAAATATCAAAATTTGAGAATTTTATAGCGATTTATTCATCTTTGAGCAATTTTTCCTTTCAGCCGAAAAATGGGAATCTCTCTAAATTTTTCGAAATCTTCAAGACCTTCTTCCCTATCATCTCAATATTAACAAACTTCATAACCGATCCAATTTGCTTTGACTTATCATTCTCCCAAACAGAACAAACAAACATCCTTCTTCTTCCAACGCCGAAAAACAACGGCGCCGACAGTTCTCATCAAGATGAACAAATGACCCGCATTTCCTTCGTTGCAAAGGAAGGAAAAGGGAGAACCAGCTCAAAAAGTCTTGATCCCTTGAGGGACAAAGCCTTGGAGGAGATTGAGCTTCTCTCTCTCTTTCTGCGACGTCGACATTACTCATGCATGTCTTTTTTTCTCGTTGCACGGCCTGGAGAAAGTCTTCGAATATTGGATTTCACTCCGAGTTTCACTAACAAAATCATTTTTTCGTCTTGAAATCGAGAGCAGTGGAACTTTTTGCAAAGAGTAAAAATGTGTTTTGATTCTTCTTTTTGGTTACTTTTATAGCAAAAGAGATTGATCAGAAAGGTCCACATGAAAATTTACTGAGAAAGATTCTGGAATAATCTAAGAAAAAAAAAATGGACTTTTTTGTAAAATCGAAATGTCAAATTTTATCGCAGACTTTTTCAAATCCTTTATAAATCTCTCAATTAAATTGATCAGAAAACCAGTTTCTATCCACCTTGACATGAAATTTTAGAATTAAGCTTCTGTTTTTCTTTTTCTCTATCCAATCAACTTTTAATTTTCGATCCCTCTACCAAACCAAACTTCTCCTCCCCAACTTCATAACCTCGGTCAAGAGCCCAAGCAGCAGCTGGAGAAAAAGAAGAAGAAGGGAAAAAACGCAGAAAGGATGGAGAAAAAGTCGTCCAGATTGTTTTTGAAGGCACACTCGTCCACTTTTCGAGGACACGGGGCCGTTCACGTTTTGTCTCAAGTGAGACCGTGTCGCGCTCCGTCAAACTCCAACTTGAAGTTGGGATAAATTGGAAGCAGGACACAATATCTACCAGCTCAGCTTGAGGTAAAAAAGGAAAAGTGGAAAAATCGCCGTAAAAGCCTTTAACACTCTTGCGCTCCACGGCTAAACTGAAACTCAGATAGGTCTATTTTTGATATCCAGAAGTATTATTTTTAATATTTCAGTTACCTAAATTCTCCCAAACCCAAAAAAGCCAGTCTACCTGGAATACTCCAAACAAGACAACTTGATCAAAGCTATTCCAAATGTGTATTGAATGAAACTTGATTTTTTGATCTTTAAATCAATCTTACAATCTCTATAGTTTGATCTGGGGAATTGAAGAAAAACCTGATTGAACTGTCCATTTCTGTACCAAAAAAAACATCTTTGAGTACTTTTTTTTCACAACTTCCGATCCTTAATTTAAAAAAAAAGACCAGCCTGACTTGGAATTATCCAAAAAGATGTTTCAACAAAGATAAAAGCTTTTTTTTAAACCTTGGCCTATATTCCAAACCTAAATCAAAGTTTGATTTTTCGATCTCGAAATCAACTAATCAATCCCTTTCTCGCGTTCCTGATCAAACAGATCATGAAATCTGTGTGGGAAAACATCTCGCGGCTCCCTGGAGAATTCCCGCCGCCGCCCTCTCCCGCCACTCGGTTTATTTGGGACCTTTTCTTTTCTTTTGTCCCCTGTCAAAAGGCTGCAAAAACGGTCACGCATAAATCTTTGTGTCTTCTCAACGTCGAAGCTTTTGGGTGTGTTGACCCTGGCGTTCAGTTCGAGATCTCTAGACTTTTTTTCCCATTTTTCTCAAGTGGATTGGCTAGGAAACAAAAATCTCGAAAGAGATAGGAAAATTATTACTTTGAAGCTTCATCATTTAGAAAGGAAACTAGCCTTCAGAAATGATTTTTTGATGCCGATTTTTCTCAAAAAAAAAACCTGGGTTTGCAGGAAAATGGCTTCATCATTTAGCTTTCAACTTATATTACTTTTTACTCGAAGGTAATCACTCTTTCAGACTCCGAGCAAATAATCCAAAAATCAAACAACTTCTCCTACTTCAAGTAGCACCTCTAAAAGTTCAAAGACCTCTTCCTCCAGATCCACCAAACGTCTATCGGTTCACAGTTCTTCTCTCGTCGCCGTCAGACAAAACAATCGTTTGTCAACAAAAACCGCAAGTCATTTCGAAGATACACAGAAAAGGTCCTACAAACACAGACAGACGGACACACAAAAACGTGTGGCCGATCCATTTTTGGGGAATCGAGTGGACTTGGAGGAGGAGGAGAGACTTTGGAAAAGCGGCGAGACATCACGGCGCCAAGGACAGTTAGGAACGGCCGGTAATTGTCGCCCGCAATGTTCCAGAAATCCATCCAGAATTGAGGTCCAATTTGGGTTTATCGAGGGATATTCGCGTCAAAACAGCCTCGGATAAAATTGAGCCACGGAAAAAGCTAGTTTCATTCTAGAGAGAATATAGAGATTTCTGATCAAAAATCATCCGGATAAATAGCGAAAAAGGCTTGTGCGCTCCATTGCTAATAATCTTTATAATGAACTTCTCGTAAATAAAAATTTGATAAATTATTTGTTCGTATACGAATAGCCTCAATATGCAGAAGAGCCACTAAAAACAGAAGCTTTTGCGCTCGATGACCAATACTCAGCGAAAGTTTTTGTTTGAAAGATTAGAAAAAATTAATTATGCCTTCTTTGAAATTCGAAGAATTTTTTGGTTTTTCCAACTCGATGATGACTGAAATTGTCAATGGAGCGCCACATTCATGCCCGTCGAGGCTATTTATTCTCAAACCCCAGACTTCTTCAAGCATCCTCCAAACGATTTCGATTTCATCGCCATCGGCGTTCCATACAAAACGACGAGGTCGGCCGCCAATTGACCGCCTTGTCCACAGACACGCAAACAGTCACAAAGCACAAAAGGTTGAGGTTGGATTATTGGAAACGGACCAATTGGCCGGCGACGACGACGGCGCCACGCATAAATAGCCCCGATTCCAACACACAACTACTTCTTTTGGCGCCACACGATTCCTGGAACGGTTCGATTCCGTTTCTCTGGAAAGGCGTTGGCGGCCGCTTATAGCCATAGATTCCGAAGATTAAAGCTAACTGGGAGATTATGTCCCCACAGAGCGAGTGTGAAAGATCCGAGAGTGAGATAAATCACGCGGGAAAGGAAGAAGGAGAAGAACAGCTGTCGTCTTTGGGATGTCCATATTAGTGTGAACGATGCACTTTTAGCTAGTTTCAGATTGGCAGGAAAGCTTGGAAAAATCAGATAAAAATTGCGTTTTTTGGTGTTCGAAAATTTATTGGGAACCTAGAGAAGGTTAGAAAAAGGCAAGATAATTCTAAAAGTCGCTTTAAAAAATCCTTTTGTTTCCTTCAACTATATCTTGACGCTTTCCAAATACAACCTTGACAACTGAAACTTGAAAAAATGTTCCTAAATTCCTCATGTATAACCCAAACTACAGAGACCTCAATACTTTCTTCCCACAAAAAAGCTGACCAAAAAACCAGACTAGAAGAAAGTTCGCCTTGGGAATTCGCACAACCACTTGATCTCAATCCATCCAAACAGCCAGTCAGGTCACACAGACGGATCCCGCACAAAAATTGCTCCAGTCAAGACGGCCCAGAAAACAAAAGAAAAGAGGGGAACATCTTAACGGCGGATCCATCGGATGAGAAGATCCGACGACGTGGCGTCATGTTTTCTTTGGATGGCGTCGCCGAAGACGCATGCCGCGACGGCGGTGAGATACAAAACGAACGTGAGGAGCGTGTTCAGAAATCAATTCCTTATTTATTGGCGGTCGTTCTCACCGACGGCGGTTCTCTTGGCTTTTCCTTCCTTATGAGGAAAGGCCGAATGTACTTTGGGATAGTCAAAAGCTTCGAGTTTCAGAGAGGGGCTTTCAGGCTTTTAAAAAATCATATCTTCAACAAGACAAAACTAATGAATTTGAGCTTCTTCTGGTGTCTGTATCAAAAGCTTTCCTTCATAAAAAAAAGCCTGATCTTTTGATTCGAAGAGAAGACTGAAATATTCAAAATAAACCCCCCGATGAACCAAAAGTCAATGAAAAACAACAAAAAAACTCTCAAAAACTAACACACCAGCTATTTCGACCTACAAAACCTTGCTCAATTCATAACTCCTTGGACAAAAGGAAGCCAACTTTCTCAAATTCCCCACTACCGTTCGCACTTTAAAAAACCTTGCTTTCCCTCAGACATGCCATGTCCATCTATCTGCCAAAGAAGCGTGAAAAAAAAAGAGAAAAGTCGGCCAGACCAACGAGGCAAATACATCCAATCTCCGTTGTAAAAAACTTGCTAACGTTCCTTCGGCAGTGCCGACGTCTTCTTCTCTTCATCCCAAGACACTTTCCAAAACCTCGGCTGGCGATGGCGTAATCGCCGTCCCATTTGCACTTTTCAATCTATTTTAATTGATCAAGGTAATAAAAAGGCAGCCGACAAGTGGAGAAAGCTCTCTAATCAAATTACCGCCGGCCTTTCTTCCAAGATATCTGACAATCACGCTGTGAAAGCTTGGGAAAAACATTGATGAGTCATTGAGTGAGCAAAATATCAATTACGAAACTGAACTACATTTTAAAGAACTGAAATTTACGAGTTACTTTGAGAAATAATTTAGAAACCCGCTCAAAAACACAATGATACCTAAATTGTTATGGAAAATCAAAAGTGAGCTCAGTTCAACTTTTAAAAAAAGTCTATTCATAATCATCACCTTCCATTCTAATGAAATGGAGCGAAATTTCCTCCAAAACTCTCGAATTCTCGTTGTCCGCTCATTTTTCTCGAAAATCTCTGGAGACCAGGTCCAACAAGACCAAAAGGTTTTCTCCGAGTGTGCTCAAGTGTGCAGGAATCGACATTTCAGATGGGATTTCTGACGTAATAAAGAAAACGAGAGAGAAAAAAACGACAGTGATACGGCCGTTCAACAAACAGTGTAACGTCGGCGGAGGTCGCAACAAAAGCAATCAGAAAAAAAAATTCGAAAAAAGTCCCTAGTCTTTTTGGTCAATTTTGTCTCCAAGTTCTGATGACGATTTCGAAAAATCGATGAAGAAGGATAAGGAGGCGAAAAATGATTCAGATAACGAAGGATTAGGATGAGAAAAGGAACAAAAAGAAGACGTCAACGTGAGAAAAAAAAAGTCACTGCTTGTGAATATAAACGTGATAGGCAATTTTGAATCATCTTTCTTGACGTAAAACAACGAGAAACTTCACCACTTCTTTTAAAAAAATCTCAAATGGAAAAAAAACCAATACATCCCTTTTCAAAAATTTAAGTGCAAAACCTACAAGTTCTTCTTCTCTCAGTCCTATCCCACTATCATATGAAAAAGCCTTTTTTCCCCTTTAACCCCAACACGTTATCAAAAAACTCAAATAAAAACAAAAAGAACTAACCAAAAGTCTCCTTGGGGACGTAGATCGGCCTGGAGATTCTTGGCGACCGTCCAAACATCTTCGGTGGGTAGACGAAGAACTCGTCGTTCTCCTGTCCAGAAGACGACGGCGAAGAGTCCGCTGAAGACGAAATACTCGCAGCAGACATGTCCGCGGTGATCAACGACAGCATCTTGTCAGTATCCGACGTCTTCTCCTCGAACGACGACTGCAACGAGTACATAGACGGCCAGGACGTCGGCTGGTTCTTCATCGGATAGACGGTCAACTCTGGCGGCGTCTGGTAGACCGAAATGAAGGTCGGGTGCCCGTACTCATTCAGAGCCTGCGTGCAGTAGACAGGCATGTCCGTTTTCAGACGTTGTCGATTCCTCTTGGAAGGTTTCTTGCCTTTGGGCGAAGGTGAGGAATAGACGGGCTGGTCGAAGAACTGCGGCGGCGGCTCTTGACGTCTTGGATGTAGAACCGTACATGGGTACGACCGTCTGGGACCCAAGGACTCCTTTTCCATGGGTTCGGCTGGATTGATGGGCATGAGGCAGCAGTTCTGGTCTTCGTCGACGACCCAGACGGCACTTCCCATCGACGCCATCTCGACGTAGTCGTAGGGCGGCGGTTCTGGGTATCGCCAGTGTTGCTGTTGGTTCTGCTGGTTGTTGTCCGGATACATCTCATTGAAGGCCCGGTTGAACTGCCGTCTTTGCTGCAACTGCGCCCAACGGCGCGCCCTTCTCACAAAACGCTTGCCGGTAGAATTACGGGCGCCTCCGCGTTGGCTAGATGCATCAGGACTCCCGCTAACGCTCGAGCCGTCCAGCTGCTGCCCGATTTGCACTGGAGCACTTTTCATCGTCTCTTTCTCGACCATTTTGAAAGTCGATGAAAATTGACAATGGGAGGCGATTCAAAGGCTCAGCTCTCCAGTTCCCATGCTAAAAACTTTCGATATTCGAATAATATAGGTGAACTAGAGCGGAACGAACAACGAGAAATAAATATGAAGCGAATGTTGAGAGAAAGTCTATAGCTACAGAGATCTAAAGACAAACGAAAAAAAAATCTCTCTGAACGTCGATTTGTGTTCTTCGGTCACAAAAACTATGAATCAGATGTTTTCGAATCCAAAATCCGGATCTTATGATAAGATTCCTGGAAAAACAATCGCAGGAATTCCAATTTAAAAAAAAAGTTAAATTCCTTCAGTATACGACTTTTTAACTCAAAATGAAAAACGCATGAAACATTCGAAGTCAAGGAAATGAGTATTTTTTCAAGCATGAAATTTCGATATTTTCGAAAATAGTTATAATTAAGACAATGGATACCAAAAATTTTGATCAAAGACGAGCAGAAAAAAAAGGCGAAAATTTCGATTCAATGTGAATAAAATTAACCTCCTAGACCACATAAAACCTTTTTAAAAATCCAAATTTCAGTCATAAAATGTATTTTTGCACCAATTTACAAGTAAAAAAACTTTGAGACTATTTTCTCAAGTAATAAAAGTTAAAATATGGCCAGAACTGAAAAATTATTGATTCAAAACAGCTTGATGCAATTTCGAAATAAGCCAAGACAATATTGAGCTTCTTTTAGTTAATTCGGTACATTGCGTCTCAAAACGAATCATAAAAGTGGTATTCAACGAATTTAAAGGCATCAAAGGAAAATTGAAAATATAAAAAACATTTGTAAGAAAGCATTAATGGCTAGAAGAACCTTCGAATCACATTCGATAAATAATAAAGAACATCAGCAAAGAAAAACTTTTGAGAAAGTCTTTAAAAAAAGTTTAAAGACATAAAAGTACATCCAAGGCTCATTTTAAAGCTTCAATATCCTCAAATAATTACCAAAAATGAGCATAGAAACGATCGAAAGTCGAAAATAAACGAAAAGAGCCCAAAAAGGAGACAAAAGTAGCGTGGCCGAGCAGAGAACGTCTGCAGAAAAGCATAATAACATGGTTTTTGAGTGGCGAAGGGGGCGGGGAAAGGGCCAAGATAAGACGCCTCGGACCTCTCAAAAATGTGTCAAACTGCCCCAGCGACGCGACGCCAAAAACGAGAGGTGCCAACAGGGCCAAAACAACTATTCTTTTTGCTCTATTTGAAATATACAACTTTGGTAGGTCAACAAAAAATGAGCTTGATGAATGAGGGGAGGTCTGTTTTATTTTTTGAATTTTGTCATTTTATCCGTTTTTCTTTTGGAATTAGAAATAGATCTTAAAGTTTCCCTGTGCCTTTAATTTGATCTACTGAATGAAAAAACCGTAAAAACAGTTTAAAAAAAACGAAAAAAATTGATCTAATAGTTGATCTATTGTAGAAAAAAAGCTCGTTTCTGATGAAAAAAATTAAAAAAATTTTTCCAAATGTCTTAAGACTCATCTTAAAAAACTACCGATTCCGAAAATTCTTTTTTAAGACTATCAAGAAATAATAAGAACAATAACCTGGATCTGAACAAACTCCCTAACCTCGGAAAAAAACCTTTTATTGACCATTTTCGGCGCGACGTCCATGTGACTGGTCATTCGATAAAAACGGAGGTCAAAACGATAAAAAATAATTGATCAACTCCTATCATACGATTCGCATTCTTCAAAAGGCAAACATTACGTTCAATAAGTAAATTCATACTTCCGCTCAAAACATTATAGAGCCTATCCCAAGAGGAAACGAATCAGGAAGAAAAGCAACATTTCGAAAATTAGTCCGAGCTCTTCGGCGTAATTAGTTTAAAGAAAGGTCCAGGAAGAGCAAAAATGATTCAGATTCGAGTTATCAGAAGGAAAAAGGTGTCTGTCATAAGATTCTTTTTTTGGAATATCCAATGCGGAAGTGAATTCGATGTTCGTCAGGCAAGTTTTTATATCTCCAGGTTGAATAACTTGCCTCTATTTTTTCGAACCTTATGAGTTAAAAATTGATTATAAAAACTGAAAATTTAAATTTAAGAAACGTCTGAAGTTGAAAAAAACAAATTCAAAGTCTTATATGTATTCAAACTTTTTCAAGCTGATGAAATAGCTTTAATTCATCGGGGCTGCTTAGAAATGCACCCGACCCAAAACGACTTGCGCGATGGGGTATTGTGAAGTACTCAGTTCAAACTTTATGTGAGCCAAAAAGATTTTGAGCCGCTTTTCTTGAGGTTTAAGCAAAAAAAAAATGGTCAGAATAAAACCATTTCAAAAAAGAATTTTAAAAGAAGAAACGTGTGAAAATTCCTAAGATTTCTATTTTAATAAAGAAATATATTATTCTTCCCAAAAACTCTTTGCCCTGAGAATAATTTTTACTAGCTTAAGATAGTTACATTTCAAAAAACGCGGTCCAAACTACTCAAAAAGATAAAAGAAAACAAATTAAAAATAGTATCTAATCTTTAAACCCGAGTCCATTAAATAAAATCGTACAAGAACGCGATAAATCAAAATAAAAGTGAATTAACCAGCAAGAGGGCCTGAGAAGCAGCATCCAGAGGCGGCAAAAGCAACAGCAGGCCGTTCGGAATCGTGGGCGGAGTCGCTGAGAAATCGTGGGCGGAGCTTGGACCTCCTTGCTTTCCCACAACACATACAAGGTGTTGGAGGGGCAGAGAGGGAAAGAACGCCGATCCGAAGGCGACGGAGAAGACGGCAAAAAACAGAACTGATGCCAGAGGAACACCCTCGACAGTCCCTAGGAAAACACGCGGATCAATGATCGCCAGGCCATCGGCAAGGTTTTCTGTCGCGAATAAATCATATTAGCTGTTAATTAACCGAACGGTCTGTAAACAGCTATAGAGAGCGAAAAGTCGAATTTTTCATTCCATTTTAGCTATTCTTCGAATCAGAAATGAATTTTAGAGACTTGAAATTTGAATTTTACTGGAAAGTGGCCTAAAATTTATAAAATGTATGAAGAAGCGGCCTTCGTAGACAAAATTCTTGAAAAAGGTAGGATAAAAGCTTTAAAATCTCAATCCTGTAGATCAAAAGGTTCTTTGAAATTTTTCATGACATTTTTGAAGTTTCGCGAAGAAAAAAATATCTTCTTATTAAAAATAAAAAAATTTCCGGTTTTATGAAAACAAGATAATCATAACCAAGTTGAAACTAAGTCAAAAACTAAAACTAGTTCTAATTTTCGCATATTTTCTGCATGAGTCAAGTATACTTGCAAAAATTGTATTGAAAAACATTTCTGCTCAAAAAAATAGAATTTTGTAGTAGCTTTCGCGCTCCGATGCTTAATTCCGTAAACTTGAACCATGAGCTGAAATTTAAAACTTTTTTTTCCCTGTCCTCAACAAGAAGTATTGCTACAACTTTTAATTTTCTTAATTACTCATATCTGTTAAAGTAAAGTGAAGTTGATCCCGAAAACTAGGAAAATCATAAAAAGATGAATAAAAACATCAACCTACACAAAAAAAGGTCCAGCAAGTGAAAGAAAAAGAAAAAAATAATTCGAATTAGAGATGCCCAGAGACTTTTTTGCCCCAACGGCAATCTTCCTTTCATTTCGACAATCAGGGCCAATTAAAAAATAAAAATTCACTTCCAAAAGAGGAAAAAAGTTCTGCAGATCTCTGCGATTAATTGTCAAATAGACACGTTTCATTTATATAAACCAAAAACCAGAAAAACTCGGTATGTGGGCGTCTAGACTCGACCAGAAGTTTGTCTAACCAATTATAGCCGTGAATCCGCGGCACGGAAAAAAAAAACGGCATATCTCAATGCAAACACAAAAACACAGACGTAACAATAGGGAAGAAAATACAAACTAGTGGACCCTGTTTCAGATTGAGAAGAGTATTTTCTTTCTGATCGAAAAAAGTGGATCAAAGTGTGATCTGCAAATAATCGAAAAAATAAAACCTTTCCTCCATTCTATTTGAAACTTTCAAATCTAAAGGAGTGCATCTTTTAGAAGTCAAACTTTCATTTTCTTACCCCAAAAAAACTGTGTCAAAAAGTCGCTTCTGATAAAGCTTCTAAAAAAATAACTTTAAAAACAAGTTGATTTTTTTATATTTATCGGGAATTTTTTTCTCGCCTCCCTACAAAGTATCAATGTTTTTGATAAACATATTTTCAGAAAGAAAAAGAACTGAAGTTTCTCACGTTAATATAGATAAAATTTGGAGAAATTGAATAATTATCAATAGAGCGCAAGAGCTCGAAGGCGCCCATATATTTTTCGCACGGCTTTTTTTCTAAATTTCAAACTTGCAAGATTTATTTTTATGTGAACTTCACTGTAGTATTTGAAATTCATCAACTTTAAAGAGAAATTGAAACCGTAAAAATGAAATTTAAATTTCGAAGATGCGCTATAAAATTCTTAAAAGAAATCTTACAAACTTCAAACTTCATTGAAAAAATAAAGCTTTCGATTCATTGAAAATATTGATCTTCCCGTTTGTTTCCAACGATTTTTCCTAGCTTCAGACGTCTTGATTCATCCTAAAATTCACCAATTTAATCAAATTAACTTCCTAAATTACTTCCGCTTCTATCTTATATTATTTTTGAATTGACGTGTTGCTATAACGACTAAAAAGGGTAAAGAGCGGGGATGAAGGAAGTCTGTGAGCCTAGCAATATTAGCACAGATGCAAACGGTCAGAATACGAAAAACATCGCCTCTGCAAGCGGATTTCGCACGATTTGAGGCTGGAAACGCCCCAAAAATAGACAAAATACATGTCGTTAATAGCCGGGATAAGCTCTTTTTTTTGCCGTTTCTTCGACAGGTGATTATGGGTTTCATACTCTCCAAGCTTCAATACGCACTGATTACGCGTGGCATGGAGGCGGAAGGGAAAAAAATTAGAAATACCTACGCTTTTCTATAAATGGGAATTGTC